TACTGTGAAGCGGTGTTCAAAAGTGCAGCCGTTATGGTCGTGACATGTGCCCGATGCCTGCATGGTCACCAGTGCGCATTCCACCCTCTAGTTCATGACATCAGTTGAGATCTTCTTGCAGGCAACGGCAGAACTTTCTGCCTGCATGGGCCTAGCCGGACGGTCTGAACCCCTGTGGAGGCTGCCGCCGCAATCTGGGTAGTCTCGGAGTGAGTTACTGTGCTGGCGACTGATCAGTCTGGCATTTGATGTGTCTTCATCACTGCCTTGGTCAGAACCGGCGACATGTGGCATAACAGGCGCGCCTTTGTCGCTGCAACTGTGATGCGGTGTTCAAAAGTGGAGCCATAGTGGTGCTGACAAGTGGATCATGCCCCTTGGTTCGTGGATATGATTTAACAGGCAAGAGGGTGGCCTTCCTTGGGAACAGTCTTTTGAGGAGACCCCTCTGGAGGATGGTGGTTGCAGGATTGTTGTGATGTGTCCCAATGCAACCGACATTTTTCCGGTTTGTTTCTATCATGTTTATCCCGGATGCAGACCCCGACACCATGCAGGCCACACTCGCAACCGGGTCTAGAATGCCCCCCAGAAATGCATTTATTATGTTTATGAGTTCTGTTTCTCAGATTTTATTTGGAATGGCCCTTGGCCAAAAGCTTTTTGTACTGCGATGGCGCAGAATTTCTTTTCCCTAGATGTTTGTCTGAAAAACCGAGATCTGGGAAGAGTACTTTTCGTTCTTTTCACTTGGAGACCATGTGGACCTGGCATCTAGATTAGAATAACTGTCCGCCTGGCTGTCAGGTTGTTCGTATTGCAACCATGTGTTCCCCCCCCTCTAAACCACTACTGCACCCAAAAAGGGCGATGTCTCGAGATATCATCGTTGAGCTGACCGGCCCCCCAGGCAATTCAGAAATGTTTGGTTTTACTCGTCAAGTTCCATCATCTGGATTTGAATTCGGGTCTGTATTTCAACAGTTCATGGGTGTACCCACTGGGTTTGAACCTACCCACTGAACCTAAATGCTTCAGGCTTACCGGGTTGTAGCATGCATAAAGGTATGTGTGCTTTGTCTTCTGGATATTTTTGTTTACAGGCAGTTCCAAATTCTCGTGTTTGGTGCTGACGTGTCGCTTGCTGCTGCACCAGCTTTGGTCTGTGAAATGGTCCCCTGCTCTGATGTTAGTGTTGAGATTTGCCTGTGTTTCATGCAATTTCAGCAATCATCACTCGTGGAAACTTAATTGAAGCATTGAAGCATATCTCGATTGATAGGAAGCTTAACATTAAACTGGTATTTGAGAATCATGTCAGCATCCTCGTCCCTACACTTACGGAAATTCCTAATGTGAGAAATCGGGCATCCAGGCTGTCTGCGGTCCTACTGTTCCAACAGCCCGAATTGTCGCACGATCTTCAGATTTTAAGATGGCTTGGTGATCCAGATCGTCTGCGGTCCTACCGGACCACGGCCAGGATCGAGGCACAATTTCAGATCGTGTGATGATCTGGGCCGCCGGTCCGGTACCGGTTGGCCAACGGCCGAGATAAAAACCTTGTGCACCCCAATGGAAGTTCGGGCTGCCAGGCCCGGGGGAAAACCGGTTCCAGGCGGGACGGTATCGGGCGCAGCGGTTCGGCCCTTTTCCCGTGCATATCTTTGGCGGCGCATAGTGGGCGGACACACACACCTACAGCATAGCGGAGGATACAATACTCACATTGACAAGACACATGCACTCACATTTATTCCCGCCCGCACGCCTGTGGAAGCACACGCACAAACACGCACTTGCACGGACGCACGTACGCACACAAATGCATCGTGGGCAGACTGTCGGGGTGCAACCTCCTGATGAGTTGGTGAAAGTCCAACGAAGCAGTCTGGCACAGTCTGTTACGGACCCAGCGCGGGATGGATCCCTGGTCCGCGGGTTACCACCCGCCAGGCTGCTATTCTCTTCTTTTTTGGAGTTTCTGATCTCCAGTTCCTGACTGTTGGTGCCCTCTGTAGTTGGCGCCCGTTCTCAAATCCCGTCTCTCTCTGCCACTTTCGGATTTCGTACTTGGCGCCATCCGGCATTCTGGCGCCCAGGCTCAGACCTTCGATTTTCAGTTCAGCCCCGAGGCAATTGAGTCTGATACTTAAGACCGGACTCGAGCTGAGTGCGGGGACTCAGTTTTCAGCCTCAGTGCTTGTGCTTCGGTGTGACTTGCTGCAGCACTGTGTACGGAACCAAGCTTGCGACTTTGCCACTTTGTGTTTGTGTCCGTCGAGTCGTGTCGAGTCCGTGTTGAGTTGAGCGAGTGTGTGTGTGTGTGCTCACTCCTTCCCTCTCTCTTCCCCGACCTCGCTCAGCCCCATCACACAGTTGAGCTTTTTTGGGAGTTGCGTAAGTGCGCGTGCCCGCGCAAGAGAAAAGTCAAATTTTTTATTTGTTTGGTTTTAGCCATATATATATATATCTTTTTTAATTTAAGACGGAGCCTACGACTGGACTTGAACCGGAGGCCTTTCCCTTACCAAGGGAATGCTCTACCACCTGAGCTACGTGGTCTCACGGGGAAATTGGAGACGATCGGACTAGAGAGAGAGAGAGAGAGAGAGAGAGAGAGAGAGAGAGAGAGAGAGTTTGCATCGGTCAGTTGCCTCCACCATTAATGCATCACCTGTCGTATTTGTTTTTGTGAGCGAAGCCGCAACAGGTCATCTAACCTGATTACCCGCCCATATGGGTCGTGTGCCGGAGGATGGCGCAGATCGCTGGTTGGTCCCGAAAAGCTCAGACTGGTTCGCAATCTTGGCAGTTGCCCCAAAAGCTCAGACTGGTTCGCAATCTTGGTGGTTGGCGCGAAAGGGTGGCCCCAATGTGCAACCAGTATGAAAGTCTTGGTGATCAGCCGTGAATCTGGACGGTCCTCCAGAGCACGGCCCAAGTTTTTGACCAGCCTTGCATTTTGAGTGATTGCCCACGAATCTGGAATGTCCTCCAGCCCGTGGTTCAGATTGCAAATGGGCCGCTCGGGAACTGTCTTCCTCTGCCAGCTACCTTCCCTTCGAAAGGGCTACTTACATCTGCCTTCTTCTGCCGGCTACCTTCCTGATTGTTGAACGGCGTTCTCTCTCTCTCTCCGTGCCTCCTGTTGACGGCCTGCCCACCACCAGCTGCCTTCTCACCTCTGTTCCCCCACACTTCGCCTCCACCATCTTCCCTACCCTTCTGCTGCAACTGCCA